ACTTTAACTTAATAAATCAAAATATGTATGTATTAAATAATAATTGATTCTTCAATCTTCAATATTTTCAGGATTATGAATTAAAATATTATTTTTTATTACTAATGAATTTTTAATAAATTTTATATAAATTTTATTAAAAAATGGTAAATATTACGACGATCAATTTCAGACCAATAAAATTAACCATTTATGTGATATTTCAACCAATGATGTCGCTAGAAAATCGAAATGTCCATTATGCTGTTTGTTATCACGTGATTCGGCTTAGATACGCGATTTTTCTTTTTGAAATTACTTCGTTACAAAGCCCATTAGAATTAAGAGAATTCTAAAATCTAAAATAACATGAATTTATTTCTCAAGATCAAAATGTTGAATTGATTTCCACAATTTCTTTTTCGTCTAAGCCTGTAAGAGTATGCACAGCCACACCTAAGCCAGTGGCTTTAATGAAGTTCATAATGACAATTAAAAAAAAATTTTGCCTTTTATTTGACGTTTAATGAAATTCAGTTTTTTTTTCTTCTTTCTGTTTACCGTTACTATTAAAAAAAAAAAAAAAAAATTTGAGGCAAATAAAGATGGATAAATGTCGCTCATCCATGACATTTTTCAAGCATACAGTGGGAGGAGTGATATGTACAGCTGTTGTTATTTTGATTTTTGCGTGTCCAGCCTTAGGTGAGACAATAATCTGATATTTCGTGATGTATGTTATACAAGATGATATCTATATAGATATAATCTTTTTCTTTAGAAGCTACAAAAATAATATTGTTCAAACAAGCAAGTGGTGAAATAAAGTTAAAGGATCCCATCATTGAGTGCATGTAAGCCGATATTTAAAAACTTTATTGAAGTTTTTCTATTATATCTTGAAACTTATTTATTTATATATATATTCATATATTTATTTTAGTTATTTATTTCTGGTGCTTACATTTCCTAGTAAGTTTTAATAAAGGTGTGTTTCATGTGGTATAAGGAAAACGATTAATTCTGATTCTAAATAACTTTATCTTTTAGTTGGATTAATGTTCACGGCTATTAAAGGTCGATGCTGTGATATGAGAGGATTTACGAATCATATAAGGGACCAATTAGGGTATTACCTCCCTGATACCGTATTTTTTTTTCGCGTTAATCACAATTTCGATTTCTTTCATTCTTTAAACAAAATTTTTTTTTATTCTTTTCAATTTTTTTTTCCTTTTTTTTAGTTGCTTTCCGCTATTAATCCTCATAATAGCAAGTGAGTTCATATTTCATCCATTTTTTTATGTGTGTAAATTCTTTTTGTTCTACTTTGTAAGAATTCAAATTCGTCATTCTTATGTTAAAAGGTATATATACGCATATGACATCACAAGAATGTCCATCAAATTATACACATAAATCATCGATAGCACGTTTATCATGCCTTATAGGATTAATAAATTTGATAGCGATGTGGACTTTTACTTTATTGTTAATATTGTTAAGTATAGCTGAATGTCTCGATTGTTTACCACGCAAGGAACAAGATAAAAGCATCGAATCAAAATTAATAGGTTTTTTTCCCCCGGAAAGGGAAGATGAAAGAATATACAAATAAAGGGAGAGGGGCCAACAGCATTAATATTAATATAAACATTGTAAATAGTAGCACGTATTATTCTTATTCTTATTTTTATTTTATAGTATCTATTTGGCGTAGTAATTAACATGAGAAGCTTACCTATCGAGTTGTTTTTTTTTTATTTTTTTTTTTTCCATTTTTATGGTTATTAAATATTTTTTTATTTTAAATTTCTTTTATTCTTGTTTTTTTTAAAAAAAAGGGGAAAAAAAAACTACAAACATTTTTTACAATTTACAATCTAATCTACAAGAGAAATGTCCCTAGAATTTGACCAACCGTATAAAAAAAAAAAAAAATTAAAAAAATATTCACAAAAAAAATTCTACATTATTCTACAAAAAGTAATATGCGTCGGATTAATCATCTCTCAAGTTTGTCATCATCGAATCAACATCCAATCACCTAATCATTATACGCTCATGCTTTATTCATACCAAGTAATGTTCGGTAGATTGTCGTATTCTAGTAGGCGAGAAGTGTAAATAGCTTCGGGATGTATCTTATAACCATTAAGATTCAACGACATTGATGTGGGAGAATTGTAAGCGTCATGATATGAACTTGAAATGCTTGTGTTGATAAATGGGGTTGTAAAAGGAGTCTGTGAGTAGCAGGGTGATATCGGAGTTCCTGGAGTTGGTGGAGTTGTATATCCGCCGCCTACATCCTTGACGTTAATTGGTGTTACGCTACGAGTTCCTCTAAATGTTTCTTCATCGGCTATCATTAAAGATTTCATTTCGGGATCCAACCTCCAATACCATCCTCTTATCATATTATGTAATTCTGAAGCGGATGGTCGATTTTCTGGTCTAGATTCCCAACAATCCGTTATTAATTTCTTCACTCTTTGGGGCATATCTGATGATGATAATTCTGGTCTTTGCCCCTGACATATCTTTTCCGCTAATTTAAAATCGTGGGGGACGTTAAAATATGGAGGGTGTCCCATAAATACTTCATATATGATGAATCCGAATGAGTAAACGTCGGCCGCCTGTGTAAATTTCTGTCCTCTTAAGACTTCTGGCGCTATATAAGGTAAAACCCCATATACTTTAGGTTTTTCATAAGTTGAATTCCTCCTTGAAGGTGAGATGAACAATGAAAAATAATCTTGTTGTTTTTCGGGAAGAAAATCATCATCCTCTTCGGTGCAATCACCAAGAGGTTCATCAACGAATTCATACTTTTCGGAAAAAAACTTCCTCGGTGCATCTGAAGCGGGCCCATGTAGACCCAAATCACTAATACAACTCCAGGATTTCGGGGTGTAGTTTTTCTCTGTTGGAATTATCGTTTGTAAAATATTTCCCGGATGAAAATTACCGTGAACTAATTTTGCTTGATGAATCTTTCGAAGTCCATCCGAAATTGGAACCAACAACTCAATCTTATTTGAAAGTGATAATGTGGGATAATATTTATTAACATACTGACGAAGGTTACATTTGGCATATTTCATGACCAACATATAATTATTCGTTTCAGGATCTTTGGTTATTCCGTATATCCGTATAAGGCCACCTGAATGTTCAAACTTTGTTTGCGTTCGTAACTATCAATTTTACAAGAGTTGTGTTAGAATTATTTTTTTTTTAAAAAATATAAAATAAAATAAAATAAAAAAATTCAAAGTTGAAATACTTTTATTCACCTTTTGAAGGTATTCACTTGATATATTTTCAGAAAAGTCGAGACTTTTTAAAGCTACACGACCGTATACTTCTTTTTCGGTACACATGGCGGAATATACATGACCGTAACCACCTTTTGCCAACAACTTAACTTCCTCAAATCTATCATAAGGGATCCATTTCCATGGTTTACGACGTTTTGAGGCTAAACGTTGAGTTTCTTTTATAATCTCATCAATATCTTTATTTCCCGTCGTCCAAATTCCTAGTATAGATTTAATCGCTTTCCAAAAAGCGCAACAATCCTTTGGATTGTAATGACGGGAATTCGAGGAATGGTGAAAGGCTGAATTTAACGATGAACTGCTAGGATATGACCGATGTGTTTTACGATGGTTATGACTACATTCATTATTTCCATGAATTAAAGTATCGAAATAGGATTGCTGGTTTCCCATTTTTTCAACGTTGAATGAAGCAGCTAAAATTTGATGCCTGACTGAAATATCCCCCCTTTTAAAATAATTATTTAGAATCACGTGAAATTATGTTGTTATGGTGTGACGTGTCAATATCAAATAGAATTCTTTGTTTTTATTATAAAAAAAAAAAATAAATAAAACGCCTTTTTTAATCAATTTTTTTTTTTTTTTTGGTCTTCGCAAAGGATGAGAAAAAATTTTAATTTTTCGTTATAAGTTTTCCTTTTTTTTACAAGGGAGAGAAAAAAGGAAGGTTTTATCATTTAATTATTCATCGAGAAATAAAGAGATTATCCCAACACAACAATATGTGGAGGAAAAATGTTCCCATAAAAATTTTAATTTAAAGGTGACACATTTTAACTATTTAAGGGAGTTTAGTACATCAAATCAAATAAAAAAAAATTTTTTTTTTTAAACAGGTTAAATTGTTATATCATTTTTGACAAATGTCACCCATAATTAAAGTTAAATCGTAATACTATTACAGTATCTTTGAAAGCGCAAGCCACAACTTCATGCACGATGCCGCCTTAGCTGCATTTTATTACCTTTTTAACCATATGATAACAATGATTGTCATTGTGTTAGAAACTGTTATCAAAAAATATTTTAAAAAATTTCTCAATGAAACTTTTTTTTCATTTGTATGTTAGAAATTTCAAATAAATTTTTTTTTTGACAGAAAATTGTTACCTTAAAAGCTCCCCAAAATGATTTAACAATACGGTCACATGCGAGCGATAATCAGTGAAACGCATTACCGCCACGTGAGCACGGATGGCATCAATATATTATCGTCATAACTCGCCTTGTCCCTTTGGTCATGAGATATGAATTATTTCATTTCCCATTGTTTTTCCTATTCTACAATCTCAATTGATGAAAAAATGCTTGAACCCTTTTTTTTTACGTCGAATTACTATGTATTAGATAATGCATATTTTTGATCGAAATGTAAAATATATTAAACAATCTTCGAATTAATACGTATTCTTTTTTATGAGATCATTTTTCGCCTGAGAACAATCGTTCAAAATTAATTTATCTTGTAAGATTCAAATTTCCCCAATTTCGAACATTTCCACAAAAGTGGGAGGAAAAAATAAAGTTTAGATTGATTTCCGTTTTTGGGATGCCTGCGCCGATCCTTGCTCTATCCATGCTCTTTAAAATGAACTCATTATACCTTTTTTTTTCTTTTTTTTCTTCGACATCATGCGATCAATCGAATTAATGGTGGCTTAGATACCATAATTGAAAGGTTAATCACGTGTAGATTTAATTAAACTTTAAACCTATTCAAATCAAACATGCTGAGCTACGTGCGCAAGAATATTAATTACTATTTACATAATAAATTAAAATCTCTTTCGCCAAGCGCAACTTTTTTTTATGGAAGGTTTAGATGTTTCACACGCAGTATGACTTTCTCTGATGTTTTCTATCTATCTCATCCTTTCCTTCTAAGAAATTTCATTTGCCAGTATGGGAACCGAATTGATTATGATTCTGTTTCGATAAAGCCTAGTTTAAATACACCCATTTAATTGCATTTTATTATTATTATATTTTTTTTTTTGTTGTTCTTACTTATCTAAATCGATTCAATCAGGATTTATCTAAATGACCGATGCACGAAAAAAAAAATTTAAGAACCCCAATCAATGAATCTAAAAAGGGCAAACCGGTGAATCACGAGATAAATCCTTAATGTATTATATGTGCCCTTAGCTATCGATTTAACTTCATAAGGCAACTTTCTAACTCATCACGTCCGTTAAGCTCCTTCATGTGAAATTTTCCATTTAATCCGCGCCATAAATTTCTCGTTCTCTCTCTAGATTTATTTTATTTTGTTGAATCATTGGGGTGTGATTTTCATCTTTATCGAACCAATGAATTTTATTGTCGATTAGAACACCAGAAAAAAAAAACAAAACAATTTAATTTTTTTTAAAAGAAAAAAATCAATAAATAATAATAATACGAATAATATAACTGATATCATTTCACTTGAAACGAGGAGACGCATAACCTTAATTAGTCAATATTAAGAGGGGTGAAGTAATTTATATGCTAATATATTCTTTCTTTGTCCTTTCCTGTTTAGAATTGGTCGAGAAGTACTTGAATTTCTAATTTTGGTGACAAACAAACATGATTTCGTTGAACCAATTATGACCTTCAACACATAAAAAACCATCCTTTGTGGCACGGACGGTTTGCTGCGCCACATTCAAATTATTGGTTCGCGTCTTTGTTTGTATGAAATGTTCATTATTTGAAGATGTGAACTTGAGGCGCAACAATACATTTTTCTGCGATTTGAATGAGAACAATACTTAATCATCCAAAAATAAGGTTTGGACGACTAGAATTCATACAGGTGGTTTTTTTTCCCCAATACTAGCTAACTATACAACGGCCATTCTCATTTAGGGTTCAACCCTTATGCAGGGTGAAGTCGGTATGCACTATAAGTTACTAAAATTGTATTTTTGATGATACCACTTAAGTTAGGACATCGATAAAAGCCATTAAAAATTCGGTAAAATGCACTCCTTGTGAATTACATGTGACACAGATCAAAACAACACGAGTTAGCCAATCTTCGATCGACATGTGCTTATGAACGTTTTTTTAATTTACATTTTTCGTGTGAATAAAATTATGATTTTGGTTTTTGTTACGCTACTAAGCGCGACAATCAAAAAGGCACCCTCCATTTCTTTCGGTAATCGTTGTTTATTGTATTGATTTATAGCTGGAAGTGTATGCATGGATTGAAAATTTCTTTGTGGTGAGTACGTAATGGATCCAAGACAGGAAGTAATTATAGTGAAATTAGAAAGTTATTTGGATAGAAATTCATAAGGGAATTGCTATATTTGAAACTTGATTAATCCGATTATAAAGGAATTAAAATTTTTTTTTTGATCTCTGCAGAAATCCTTGCATAATTACAGTACGAGAAACTTTTGAGCTAATCAATGTAAAAATTATTGAACATTTTTTGATCGATAGACCATGTGTGGAAATGAGGCATCTCTTATTGTATATTGAAGATTCTATTATACTCGATATCATAGCTTATGTCATCCTTTTTTGTTGTCGAATATATATATATTCAACAAAGAATTTACCTAAAAATTACCGCAAGTTTTTTGAGAATTAGTCAATATTCTCTTATGTGAAGTTTTTACTTGATTTAAAGTTACAGATTATATTTCAAGTACAATCACACTGATTAAGCATGAATTGTTAAAAGAAATAGAGACTAAAAATGAACCGAATGATATTAATATGAAGAAATGATATTGGCAAATCACGGATCATTGGTATCGAAGCAGACTCGAATGAGAAGTAACGTACAGTTCAGGAAAATATTTCGAAATTGTAAATATGGGATTAAAGTCATAAACGTTTCTTTGATCTATCTCAAATGGCGACATTCACAAACCCTGACATTTAATAATACTTTCCGATCAATATCCGTGCTCCACATTCCTGTAAATTATTCTTTACTCATGATAACCTAACAGTATAATTAAATTACATGGTAGATTCAAAAAAATAAAATAAAATAAAGTAATAAAACAAAATAGAAAATAATAAAAAAAAAAAAGTCCACAAAAAAATGATTTTCAACGTGCGCGGAAATTTTCATCCGAATCTCCGTTGATTGGATAGACAAACTTAATTAACTTTAATTACTCAAGTTTATTGGTTTACAAATATACAAATATAGAATAGATTTGAAAAAAAGGGGGGGAAGGATCCGTTTTAAAAATTCATGTTGAACCTTATAAACAAGTTTTAAGGTTTCAAATAATTTCCTATCGGTTTAAAAAAAAAAAAAAATTAAATGATGGAATCTGAGAATTATTCAAATTATACGACAGAAAATGAACTAGATAATTTAGAGAGTACCTTCAATTGGTATCAAAAAACGGCGGAAAATGAAAATAAATTCGCACAATATAATCTTGCACTTTCATATGAAAATGGGGAAGGAACGGAAAAGAATCTAGAGAAAGCTTTTTACTGGTATCAAAAAGCGGTGGAAAATGGTTATTATTTCGCACAAAATAATCTCGCACTTTCATATGAAAATGGGGAAGGAACGGAAAAGGATTTAAAAAAAGCATTGTATTGGTATCAAAAAGCGGCAGAGAATGGTTATGAATTCGCACAGAATAATCTTGGTTGTTTATACAAGAATGGGGAAGGAACGGAGACGAATTTGGAATTGGCTTTTTATTGGTATAAAAAGGCAGCAGAGAATGGTTACGAATTCGCACAAAATAATCTTGGTTGCTTATATGAGAAAGGTGAGGGAACGGAAAAAAATTTGGAAATGGCTTTTTATTGGTATAACAAGGCAGCGGAAAATTGTCATGACATTGCTCAAAATAATCTTGGTTGTTTATATGAAAGGGGGGAGGGAACGGAAAGGAATTTAGAAAAGGCTTTTTACTGGTATCAAAAAGCAGCAGAGAATGGTTATGAATATGCACAATATAACCTTGGTTATTTATATCAAAGAGGCGAAGGGATGAAAAAGAATTTAGAAATGGCTTTTTATTGGTATCAAAAAGCAGCTGAGAAAGGGTATGAAGTTGCACAAAATTGTCTTGCACTTTTATATGAAAGAGGTGAAGGAACGGAAAAGAATATAGAAATGGCTTTTTATTGGTATCAAAAAGCAGCAGAGAAAGGATACGAAATTGCATTATATAATTTGGGGGAATGTTATGAGCTAGGAAATGGCATTGAAAAGAATGAGGTAAAAGCATTTGAATATTATCAAAAATCTGCCAAACAAGGATATTTAAGTGCAATATTTCAACTTGGATATTGTTATATGAATGGAATCGGAACAGAAGTTGACAAAGTTAAAGGATTTGAATCTTATAATAAGGCAATTGGAATCAAAGAGATTGATGCTCAAAATAACATCAAAACATTATATAAAGATGATGATAAAATTATCAACGAGTTAGATGTAGTTAACTATTGGTACCATAAAGCTGCCGAAAATGATAATAAAGTTGCATTATATAAATTAGGTGAATTGTATGAAATAGGAAAAGGTGTATGTGAAAATCTAATTCGAGCATTCGAATTCTATAAGCAATCGGCCGATCAAGGGTATTTAGAGGCTCAATGTAAGGTTAGGTATTATTATGATCATGGAATTATGGTTGATGTTAATAAAGAAAGGTCCAAGGAAAATACTCGGAACAGTCTTACACATTAATATGTACAAGATGACGGAATAAGAAATGATATTGAGAATGTTGTTGAGAATGGATGGATATCGAATGGAAGTGGATAATTCTGAATGAGTTAAGTTACTTGAATTATTTCTGCTCCAATTTCACTAAATGACATTTTTAAATTAGTCTAGACCGGAAATCCAAGGCAAATGATATGATAGTTTATCTTCTTTGTTTATGATTGTGTGGCGATTACTATAATATAATATTTTTTTCAAATTCATAAATTTATTCATTAATGTTCTTCCGTGGTAAGGATTTGAAAAGGTGTCTTATGTGATTCAAAGTTGACAAGCAAAAATCAAGTTTAGTCTATAAACGGATTGCTTCAAGAAAAATACATTGCATACTAGATCCGTTGTTTCAATTGAAGAAATTATAAAAATTAAAGGATTCATTGTTTGGCATTATGATAATAACTCTTATTTGAATATATTAAATAAATGTAACTAAATTCGTTAATAAGAAATTTTTTTGCAACCACTTTTAACAATCTGTATTGTGACTTGCAATTTATAAAACAGGATATTATGTTAATTGCGCCAATAGAATTGATCGAAAAGAAACATGTGACGTTACGTCATAACATGCTTTAAAACCCCCTTGTTGCATGAAATCAAAATTTTACTTCTTTCAACTTCCCACACGGACATGAAGCTTCATTATCGAAGGTATGTTTTTTATTACATTTCTTTTTTCCTATTGTATATTTGTTTATATTTTTGTTCAAGTACAAGGCTTACATATTTTGTTTATACGACTGTTTATCTTGAAGATTTTGAGTTCCTTTTCTTTGGTACACATCACCGAAGATAAAGAGGAGTTAAGGAGTTTGCCTATGGTCAAATAACTCAGTTGCCAGTCTATCCAGCTTTTTTTCCTGTGAAGAAATTGTCAAAGCGGGTAATGATGGACCAGTGGTCTTTGAAGTTTAACCAGTTTATCCTTGAAGGTCATTATATTGAGTTTTGGGGCGTTTTGCCTGCGGCTATAATAACCGGTTTCTAGTCTATCCAGCTTTATTTTCCTGTGAAGAAATTGTCAAAGCGGGTAATGATAGACCAGTGGTCTTTGAAGTAACCAGCTTAACATGGAAGGTCATTATACCGAGTTATCGAGTTATCGGCGTTTGTCTGTGGCTTTATAATAACCGGTTTCCAGTCTATCCAGCTTTGTTTTCCTGTGAAGAAATTGTCAAAGCGGGTAATGATGGACAGGTGGTCTTTAAAGTTCAACCAGGTTATCCTTGAAGGTCATTATACCGAGTTATCGGGCGTTTTGCCTGCGGCTTTATAATACGCGGTTTCTAGTCTATCCAGCTTTATTTTCCTGTGAAGAAATTGTCAAAGCGAGTAATGATGGACCAGTGGTCTTTGAAGTTAGCTTTAAAGGTCATTATACCGAGTTATATTGGGATTTAAGGGCTTCATTTTATCCTGCCTGCACTTTTTTTGGTTTTACTCGGTATTAGGATTTCCTCCTTATTTATACTGGTAATCATTAATGTCAAGGCTTGCATATTAAGTTGCCTGTGGTTTATAATAGCTAGTTTTTGATCTTTTCCTCTTTAATATTGGTGATCATTAACACGAGCTATTTTTGGGATCTAAAGGGCTTCTTCGTATCATGTTGCCTGTGGTAATTTATGTTTTTTGATTGGATCATATGATGATCTTGGTCATTGATTGACCCGTTCTGATAATCTGTCAAAAAAAATTAACTGTACAAGGCTTGCCACCTCCGGGAGAAACAGTTATAGATTAATCTATACCTGGCTAAGTGCAAGCATATTATGATCTTGAATTAATAAAAAAGAATGTTCGTTGAATGTTTTAAACATTTATGATAAAGTTACAATTCTCAGCTGATAAGCTCGACATTATGGTCAAACATATTCTAAAATTGCCTGATATCAAATAATCTCATATTTTCGTTTAATTGTCGCAATAAAGTATTGATAATTCTTCAAATCCTTCGATACATCTAATTTGTTTTTTTTCAAAATAAAAATTCTGACAAGATATAATTTCCAATTGTTGTAAATTTATCAATTTCTCTAATTCATTAAGTAAAAATGATACTATAGTGCGTTGAAAACTAATTCTCGTTAGATTATTATGTTGATACAAAATGCTCCCTCACATATTAAGTGAATTGTTGCAAATGGTGTCCTTTTGATTCTTTATCGTTTAGCAATATCATCCTCAAGACGTTCTGAAGTACAAAATTTTAACGCTCTAATATTCTTTGACATATTTATAGTTGATGACAAAATAAGTTCATTATAGGTTTGGGTATATCTTGAGCCAAATCTGAAATATTTTATAGCCGATAATTTTTGTTCGGCATAAGGTAATTCATAAATATCGATTTCTTGTTTCCATTTTAAATCAAGTCCCTTTAAATTATTTGAATTAAATTAAGATACGTTCACTTAAAGCTTTATGTATTTGACTACATGCCTAAGTACTTTTATCTATATAAAATGATTAATCCTTGCTATTAAGCCAAAATTTTACGCATGTTTTCATATCATCAATTCGAAAAGTTTGTTAAAAAACTCATATGCATACGTTAATGATTTTAACCCAATAGTTTCTTGGACATTTTAAGGTAGTATTGTTAAAAATTCTTGTTCAAAATATTCTCTAACATTTTGAGGTAAACTTTTGATATAGGTTTCGATAAATTCAATACACTCAAAAAATATTTCTAGACTTGTTAGAATATCTTGATTATACATGAAGTCAAAATGAAAACCCAAAAGTCAAAATGTTTTGATTTTAGAGGTCAAAGTCAAAATGAAAGTCATAATGATTAAAATGATGACATATTACATGATTTTTCATATATAAAAAAATTAAAAAACAAAAAATGTACAATCTCAATTACTATCACTCTGATTTTCATAAAATAACTACCATTCGATTCCTCACGACTAGACAATTTCAATAAGCTATGTTACATTGATTTCTGATTAATTTTTTTTTTAAAAAAAGTAATAATTAGTAATACCTGACTAAACTCTTTTTTAAAAAATTGTAGTTTCATCAAAAGTTTCGTCTCTTTAATATTTTATATGAATAATATAAAATTATTATATTTTTTAATGTATTTTAATTCAAGGAATTTAGATCAAGTTAAATATAATTTTGGCAATAATTTCGTCATTAATAAAAAACTAGTTTCATCATTTTAGTTTCGTCAATTTTATCATATTAAGAAAGGTAATTTTGTCAGATATCACTAGTAATAATGCATTTATTTATTATAAAATTCAATTTCAGTAAAAAAACATAAAATTCTAACAATGAATACAAAAATAAAAAAAAATAAAAAATGCTACCTAATAATTATCATTAGTAAACTAACTCTAATTAGACTAACTAGTTGTTCTATCAGGCTTCAGTAATAATTACTAGTAGAATTACTATTGTCACCTAACTAAATAAAGATAAATATTTGATAAATAGTTATTACTGCATTAAAAAAAGGTTATTTGTGACTATAGATATAAGATTAGTAAAACTATTAATTGTGAAGTTGTTGAAAGAACTATAATTTTATTTTTTACTATATTTAAAAATACAAAAAGATTGTTTTTTTCAATAGTAGCTTTGCATTTTGATATAATTATGACCTTTTGGTAAAGCATCATCTACACAATACCACTATATCACTGGAGAACTGTTAGATTAAATTGTAAACCATAAGGTGTAATTCATTTTTATATGCAGCTAAATGTACTATTAGTTCCCTCATTCTTTATTAGATTTTTCTATTTTTTCATAAAGATTATCACTTGTCATAAGAATATGATGCAAAATACCTTGTGTATATACTTGACCTATTAAAATATATTAATATTAATATATTAATTATAAAAATAAATAAAATTAATTTAAAATTTCTTACTACTAATACCTGGATATAAAAAAAACATAACAAATATATATAATCATCAAATTCACTAAAGCGTTAATTAAAATTGTAATACATTCATGTCAAAATACTTGATGATTATTTTTAGGTAATTTCTTAATAGTTGCTCCTAATCATATTAAACCTAAATAATAATCTGTTAAGATATATGTTTATGATTCAAAAAGTAGCAATGTTTTTTTAAGTGAATGTAAAGTAAAAGCCAATATGCGACATTGATCAAAAAATGCATAGCTTCGTAAAACACTTAATACTGCAATAAAAAATGTATCTGTATAATTATAACACATCTTAAAATTAAATATTAATTTGGTATTTTAATTTTAAATAAAAAATTCAAACTTATAATAATTTTCATATAAAATATTAAATAATACCATTTTTAAAGATATACGATAATGCAATGATGAGTTTTGGACTTATTTTTTAATTTTAAATATTTTGGACAAGGTTTTGGACATATGAAATTGTGTCCAAAACCTGTCCAAAATTGTCCAAAACTGTCTAAAATTGTCCAATTGCCCAACACTGCGATAATGTATCACAGATTCTATACAATTATATATTGTATACCATCATGTTTCAACCCATTTTTAATTTACCACCTTTAATTTTCGATTCAATAGCAAAATCTTTAAGCATTTGACTTATATTAAAAATAAAATAAAATAAAAAGTTAAAATTGATATTAAACCAATATTTTTATTAATATTAAAGTAAAATATTACCTGAAAGATGACTTGATTTACAATATTTAACCAATATCATACATTGGTATAATACTTTATTTACAAATGATATTTTACAAATATCTTTAAATATAAGATTGATTGCATGAGTAATACAACAGATATTTATGATATGTGGATATTTTTCAGTAATTTGATGATGAGCAGGCTTGATATTAGCATCAGAATCGCTTTCAATTGCAGAAAATTTGTTTTCTCTAATCTTACTAATTACTTCTTCAATTTGTTTAGCTAAAAAATCTGCTATATGCCATTTATTAGATAAATTTTTAAGACTTCAAAGATATTCTTGATGATCTGAAATATGTACTACAAAATTTCAAATTGATTCATTTGCAGGATTTGACCAACCATCACAAGCTGATTGTATATGAATAAATATTAGTAATTTATTAAAATTTTAATATATATAAACTTATAACTTATATAAAGTTAAATCCTACTAATATGTTAAATACTTGATTACTTGTTGGTTAATAACAGCTGATTTTTGTGCTAATAATCTTTCAAATAAAACCTCTCTGTTGGGTGGTTGATATGATGGTCATAATAATTTTATCAATTCAATAAAAAATGGATTTTCTATAACGTATCATAGAATTCCATAAATAATAAATGCTTTTATCAAAGCACAATCAATTTGATTGTCTACACTTTTATCAAATTCAGTAATTTATTGCTATCTACTAATAGTAGCATTACTCTTTCTTTTTTTATTTATATTGGTTTTAGCTAAAGCTGGATTTTGATTAATTGCCTTTATTACTAATTGTTGTAAAAAAAAATTTTTAATTAAAAGTTCAACTTTCTGATATTTAAAAGCTAAATGTATTTCAATTTCTTAGGTGAACTTTTGGACCAAATAATGTGACATGAAAGGCATTCTGCATGCCAACGCAAAGAACTAATCTTCTCAAGTTTCTTTGCATATATATTCCAACTAAACCAAACTGGCTTACCTCCTTTATTTTTGGTTTAGATGGAGTTTCATTACATGATATATTTGTAGATATTAAATCTTGAAAAGGTTATTTCATATAAAAGTTTCTTTTGAAGAAGCTTTAGTAAAAAATATTTTTTTTAAAAAAAAATAAAGAAAAAAAGAAATGTGAAAAAGTTATAAAAAAAGAATAAAATTAAACTTCTTTTTGTTGCGTTTATTTTATTATACAACATTAAGCATTAAAAAGTTTAACAAAAATAAAAATGTTAAAGTAACATTCAATATTTGGAAAAAAATTTTTGTTGATATATTGGTGTTTATTTGATTAGTTAATTATAAAGCATCACATGATTTGAGAAGTTTTGAAAGGTTTTGTCATTATTGAACGATTTAGCTATTATTAAAAATTTTTGACAATTTTATTCCAGTTTTGACTTTTCAAAAAGTTTCAGATTTAAGGTTTTAAAAAATAAAATATTTTGACTTTGAAGTTTTAGTTTTGCCTATAACATTAACTGATACATTATCAATTAAAAAACAATTTTGCATTTTCTTGTTTCATTTTTTTATTAAGTTTAAGAAGAATCTCATTAAAGATATTAACTTGCATCTAAAATTTCTTATTCCAAAAATAATAAATAAAAAGGTTTTTATAATTAAGATTTTTCATAACATGAGAGGTTTTATATTTATAGATAAAAGTAAGAGTCATTTTTTTAGTTCCAGTTGTATTTGTTGCATAAAATATAGTAACTTAGGATTTTTCTTATTTATGACCAGATATAAAACTACATGCTAAAATTCTAAAAGGTTTCATTTTTCAAAAGAGGCCAGTTT